TGGCTCTCGTGCCAGCATTCTTTGGGCCAAGTCGGGAACCGGCTTGGGAGCTGGAGCCGGGGTAGTCTTTGCCTTGAAAGCGAAACTGATTTTGCCCCCTTTGTTGGGGGTAGCAGATGAATTAGATTGTTGCGTAGCATTAGTTGGAGGTGGGTTGCCTTGAGCATCACCTCCCGCAGTAGCCTTCGAACCGTCATCTTCTGTGTGGGTTTCTTTCCTTGATGGTGCAAACCGGTCACCATTATCGTCAACATGGGATCTTTCTTCGTTGGCCGGGGGCGGTGGTGGGCTGGCTGATGGTTGCCTATAGGGCTCGTGAGGGCTGGAAGGGCCTCGACCTCGGGAATCACCCCTCCAATGTGCTTTGTTAAAATTGCTTCGGCCATGTGGTGGTCCATTATTATGGCCCTGAGGCCCTGAGTTCATAAAGCGACGGTCGCTGCCATGTCCTTGATAGCCGCCACGGTACCCTGAATGTCCACCACGGTAAGATGGCCCTGAATATGACGAACTGTGACCATGTGGACCACTCGTAGTGTAGTTGTTCTGCCGGTACGGAGAGGTAGGGCTATATGTATTGTCCGAAGTTAGTCTGATGCTGCGGAGAAGTGTCCTGAAATGACTCGACTTACACATGCTGACCCCGTCCCCCGCGCCCGCCCGAGTACGGAGAACCAGGCTGTGGCGATCCGTGGTAAGAATTCGTCGGAGTAGCGTTCTGCATCGTCGAGGAGTACTGAGAAGCATCGGCATACGGTCGAGATGTTCGCGGGCGCTGGAATGCATCGCGTGATGTCTCCCCGTTGGCCGAAACACTGGCATTATCTGCATCATGCCCCGGAGCTTCCCGAGACGGGGACAGAGACCTGAACGAGTCACCCGCTGCTGAGCGGGCGGGTCTGGCGGAGTTCATCGTCGGATCACCCAGAGAATTGCGGCGAGAAGCTATAGATAACCTCGAATCACCGGACTGCACAGAGTGACGCGAAGGTGATCGATAGCGGGGCTCGTTCTCGAGTTCGTCTTCCGGCAAAGGGCTATGAAAGCGACGCCGAGGGTATGCGTAAGATTTCCCACCACGTACGGGAGACCTAGAGCGCCTAGGTCGTGGGGATATTGGACGTCTACCCCCGGGTGGGCGCCTATCTCTCCCTCGTCGGGGGGATGGTCTCCGACCAGACCGACCCCGAGATGCGAATCGTCCTCGCCTGTTGGATGGCAGACCTCGATCCAGGTCGTCACTGTGATTGGAAGGAGGATAGCGATGACTTGGTCGGGTGGGAGGCTGATCGAAGCCACTGGGAGAAGGGCTTCGCGTCCTTTTACGCTTGAAGGGAGGCGGAGCGGATGGTGAGTGGTCGCGCCGATGGTGGCCTCTATCGTTGGTGTTTTCAGCTTCGAGAGAACGACGCGATTCCAAGCCAGGATAATCAGCGGGTAAGGGTGAGCGATCACGGCCTAGTTTCCGACCAGGGTGAAATTCCGAATGTGGATGACCAGGGGAGCCACGGGCGGAGACGGTGCTAGGGGACAAATCACGGTGTTGGCGAGGTTCGTGGTGCAGTGGAGGAGGAAAGGGACGCGGTGGCGGCGACCGTAGAGGAAGCTCGTCGTCGGGTCTGCCCTCTTTGGGTCGGCGACGACGCTCACGGTCGCGAAATTTGTCCCTTCCCCTATCGCGGTACGAGCCTCGAGGCCGGTGCTTCTCCCGGTCTCTGGGGTCTCTAGTGTCGCTGGTGGCTCTCCACTGGTCTCTCAACACCGGACTCCTGCGGGACCCAGCCATGTATTCTCCTTCAGCTGCATCGGATTCCAACAGAAAAGGAAGGAAAAGCAGCAGGGATCAGAATGACCGGCCCACTGACGGATGAGGAGGTTCGCATGTAGATGTCAGCGTTAGGATAATCCGGTGGAGCCTATCCTCTCGTCTAGGCTGGTCGGGGCGTGTGTCGGCCGCGTTCACAGTTCTCTTTCTGTCGGGGGATTGGGTGGTGCGGAAGACCGGTTTTTCCGGGGGGGTTTGAGTTGACGGAGGGAGGATGGGAAAAAAGGCGTCGCAAAGGCCGGCAGTTCTGGGCAGAAGCAGATCGTCAATGTCCGGGAACACCTTTCGAACCGGCTGCAGAATGTAAAGTGCAGGGGAAAATGGGTATTCTAGAAGGGAGAAGGGGGGGACAGACGCACCTCGCAGTCTTTTTTTTTGGTTGGTCCCGAGGGGGATTAATTTGCTTCCTGTGGCCGCTTTCGTTGGCCTTGGAGCACTAGATAATACGAAGAACCACCATGAGTTGCAAGGTGGTGATGGAACGGGAGTCTACTTTGATGGCGGGAGATTTTTAGTGAAGAGAGTCAGTCCAGCAGGTGACTCTGGGGCGGCCCAACACCGACGAGCCGCTGATCCAGTGTTCCTCCTTGTCCGATCCCTTCTTCCTCTTTCACTTCCGGGGTTGCCAGTAGTTTGGCTCTTACTACGGATGCTGGCGCAAGGCCGCGGTGCAGAGACGGCAAAACCAGGTGACGGCCGGTATTGCTGTCCGGTATGACCCCTTAGGACGCTTTGGCCTGGGGTACGGAGAGACATGGAGGCATTCAGTTGTCGAAATCCCCCAGTCAAATATGAGCGTCGCTGAATAGCACATCCTCAGCCCAGTAGTATTCACTCCATGTCCCTGCCTCGATCATGGCCATTGTTTCCATGTCCGGGCCACGGGAGGGCTCCAAGTCTTCTCTTCCATCATGGTCCAGCTGCACTGAACTCTGCCTTTGCTCCTACCCCTTCTTGCACTTCTGCCAATGATGATCTGTCTTGGGTTCATGTTCGGGTAATTCGTCTTTCCTCCAATTTTTGTCGCGTAAAACATCACCATGTCTTCCCCAACCTTTTACAGGCTCATCACCTGCATGTAGCGCTTTTGGTCGCTGGCTGGAAGAGGGAGCATATCCTTCCCACAACAGAACACACCTATCTACGGGGAGCAAATAAACCGCAAATTGACAAACATTGACAAAAATGATCAGAGCAAACACCTTGCCCAGGCGAGTTGTAGTAGCAGCACCGACGCAGATGGATGAGTCCGCAGTGTTCAGTTGCGGCTCACTAGATTAGTTTCTTGCCATCAGTGGGTGTGGTGTAACAAGTTGAGCTATCGTAGGCGCCCAAAAATGCCCAAGCGCCGTTCACTGCTTAACGTATTCAAGGCCCGCATGCTTCCTGACAATGATCAAGGAACAAGAAGCAGAAGGGGTCGATGTTGAAAGACAGCGGTGTAAGTCTTCGAGATACCGAAGACATAGGGTAGTCGAGCCTTGTGAATGGGGAAAATATCAGGTATCATAGAGGACAATGTCATCCGTCTAATTACTCAAGTGCTCGACGGTCGGCGACCTGACTTTGGCACACCACGTCGAAACCATATTTGAATCCTGGGTAAGAACCGAAGGTAGGCTCTAGCTATATCACAAGCCACGCCACAGATACAGATAGTTGTACTCACACTCATCCAATTTCTGGAGAGCATACGGTTAATGTTTGCCATGTACGTACCTGCCGTTGATGTTTGGGGTGAAGTCATTGAGCCTCGAAGAACTCCGGGGAAATCCGGCATCTAAGCCTACCCAGCAAACACATGGCCTGCCAACCATACTGGTTGTGAGAGCAGAAAGAGATTATTTCCCAACCATCCTGAAGTAAATCGGCCATCAAAAGCCACTTGCGAAAGCGATGTTTATCAAGGGTACCGTAGAGGATCGAGACGTGGCTGTTCATGACGTGTATGTAGGCGGTGGAGATGCGGGCTTTAGGTGAGGCACTCCCAGTCCAACTCAACCGAACACATCGTAAACGTACGTGGCTAGGACCAACCCTAGCGGGCTGAATAACGTGCAAAGAGGCCCTAAAGTCATCTTTATTGCTCCAGGGGCCTCCAACCAGAGCTTATTCGCAACGAATTATCAGAGGACAGGGGCTGGTCGGTACATGGACTCTTGTTGACTTTGGTGACAGGTCAAGGGTGACCGTAAGCTTGAAGCAACGGAGGGAATGCCGCCCGCGGTCACGTGGTTCGGCACCGGATTAGCCTGGTCTCCGGGGCTCGATAGTATAGCCACCAAGATTATGGACTATTCAAGTTTGTTGTTGACTTGCTTTAGAAAGAACGCTTAGAGCTTATGACTTACTACTCTTCACAGTTGGCTAGCGGGGATATAGCTAATATATTTTGCAGTATGATTGTCTATTGTATTCTAGTATAGAGCTGTGCTGATTGGAAGTTGAACTAAATCTTTCCTGTTGCACTGCAATAAATCCTGCTCTAAATCCTGCCTAGAGGCTATTTCAAATATTGTATTTTCATTACCATTGGCCGGGCTACTCTTATCTGGTTTAATTACCCTGCTAAACGAGAAATACTTTGCTTGTTTACTAGCACTTTGATAGCATGTAACCTATCTTGCCAGTACTTAGTTCTAAAAAGACTTAGTATACAATCTAGAGGAAGAGACTGGAAAGACTGCTAGCAGACATCAACACTCTAATCTCATGTTCTGGTAGTTTTTGAACCGTTTCTTTTGTTATACATATTTTTTACTCGCAGGGACTATAGAATATACTTGCTTCTTTTCTTTGATATTCTAATTTCTTTACTGACTCCTAGACTAGTCCCCAACCCCTACTAGTATTGAGCAATTATAAGTTCATAAAGAAAAAAGCCAAGGATCTGGTGTTGCCCAATACCTCCCAGTTTTACTTACAAAACATCCAGAAATATATGCCGATGCGAAGAGATTTCGAGCTCTACTGCCAATGCTGCCCTCCAACCCGCTTATCGAGTATGCTATCCAACAGCTGCTCGGGAGGATTTGCAGATGAGAAGTCCTATACGGTGCTAATCCCATTTGAGTGTGCACGCCATTTTAGCAGATCTTCAGTTCAGACCTATCATCAATCATCTGGTTGATCGATCCGATTCCCTCTTTTCTTGTGATATAAATAGCCCGTATTCCCTCATACTCCTCACGAGCACCCCCTTGTCTTGCACAGACAATTCTCCATATGATTACCACCACCACCCTTACCACTCAAACCGCATCATGATTGTCAGCGGACTTGAAGTCGTCACCCGCCAACTGGTGCGGAATCTCCGCGGTGCCACCCAACAACAACCTTGCGGCATTGATCTCACCCTTCGTCAGATCTCCAAATGGACCTCCGCAGCGACTATTGACTTCGATAATACGAAGCGCCAGGCAGCCAGAACCTCTATCTTGCCGTTTGATAACACAAGTCATGCCATTACACTGCCACCAGGCGCTTATTTGGTCGACTTCAACGAAACCGTTCACGTTCCACGGGATTGCATGGGCAGCATTTTCGCGCGGTCATCCCTCTGGCATTCTGGGGTGGGGATTACGGCGGGTGTTGTCGACGCCGGTTATGAAGGTGCTCTCGGTGCCCTGATGGAGGTCAAGAATCCCCACGGCGTCGTTCTGTATCGAGACGCCAAGCTCGCGCAGATTGTCTTTGAGGAGTTGAGCAAAGAGGTGGAAGGATATAATGGTATCTACCAGGCTTCCACGAGCAGTGTTGGGCGTGATGGAACGGGTCAGACTTCAAACACTCAAGCAGGGGATACTATACTTAAAAGATGAGGCAGGCATTGGAACACTCAACGAAATTGTTAGCTAGACCGGCCACTCAGGTTTGGCATGGAGTTTTTCTTCCTCCGTACCATCGATTTTGAATTTGACCAGCGATTACCAAGTGGATTACCTCTACAATGCGTCGCCACTGGCATAATTGGCCCCATTGCCATTCTCCAGCTTGGTGTGCCACTGATATTAATAGGTTGCTTTTGGAGGAGATCATAATGTATCTGAACTAGGCATATCTAGAGAAGACACGAAAAAGAATATTAGCTCAAATGACATGGAGGGAAAGGTATTCTTGCTTCAGTATAAAGAAAGGATTTTTTATTACCGTAGAATTGAACATGGTGAAGTTTCAGCATATAATTGGACTAGATGAGGTTCACTAATAAAGTCTGTATCTGCAAGAGTATGTCGAATCTACAGAGTTGCTAGAGCAGATATGATATGGCACTATGTTAGAGAAATTGCAAAACTAACCAAAAGAGAAATAGTAAAAATAGTAGCCGAAGTACTGTACTTGATGTAGGTTTGTAGGGTATACAAACAGGAGAACAGCTGGTTAGAATGATATGATGTTGACATCCACTGCAGCCAGGCATCACCTGATCCATCGCCACCTCTGCCCATGTGGTCCCTGCTCACTACCACCATCACACCGTATCTTGACCATAGACACAGACAAGGACTTATTCCCTGACCTACCTATTGAGACATAATGGCAATACTAACGGCTTATTATCAACCTTTTCTGTTTCTTAGCACTCGGACTCTATAACTAAGGTGCCGATAGCACTCAGTCCTGAAGAGAACTGATCAACGCCGTATTCGATACTGTGAATCTCTCAATGAGTATTCATCCTCATGTAAGTATTCGTGACAAATGCTCTCTGACCCACTGCTAACCTTCTTACTGGCGAAATACACAGCAAGTCTGGACACTGGTGAAGCATATACTCTTCTTTCACGGGATTTACAGCTTGTCAAATATCAATGGCCTGGAATCGCCCTTCTATGATCTCCAGAACCCAATAATTGATATCCTAGATATGGCCTTTCCCTATAACAGCAATTTCTGTCGCTTTTTTTCGGCACGTCAATGTGGATCAAACAAGCCTCCCCCCCTCTCTTTATTTGAAACTGGTCTGCGAACTGCGTGCCAACAATACACCGTTCCTGTGGTTCTCCCCATCCACAAACCAGCACTCGCAAGTGTTCGTCCGATACCTTGGAGATGAACAACTACTTTGACCGCCATATCCTTTAATCAGCGTCATAAAGGCTACAATCAATGGTTCCTGCATGATGATGGGGTGCATTACGTGGTTCCCGAACCAAGCATTTTCTTTAAAGAGCAGAAGATGCCCCACAGTGTTTGACGATTGTGATAGCTAAATCGCGTTGCTGAATGGTGATAGGTCTGAGATCTATCATCGCTCCTGGTATACGTTTGGAGTATGTTAGAGTACTGAACCCATTGTGGATATTCGTCGTCATCAGCGGTGACGTCAGTGCCGTGCAGAAATTGGACGTGGGTCTGAAAGAAGCACACTTTAAGCTTACCAGTGATAAGATTATAAGGTCGTTGGAGGTCCACTCATTCGTAACCTCCAACCTCCGGTTTTGTCAATTGACGAGCTACAGATTCCACCATCTACTTTTAGTCCACACTTCCCTTGTTTCTTCCCGTGCATCCGCGGTGTTCTACCGGCGGAGACTAGCCCTCGTTAGGCAACAATCGGCACATCTCCCGTTTATCAACAACAGAGCGAGTGGGGGATCTCTGTCTAACCTAATGAACAGGATAGCAACACCCTCTAACTGGAATGCTGCTTTACTGCGAAGAGCATGATATCCGCTTTTGTCTCCAACGATCAATCTATATGGCTCGGAAAATGCAGGTACCGGGCTAGGCTTTCCCCTCCTTTCTCGGTTGGAGTAACCGTTCCTGGGAATAGTAGTTGACCTTGATTTGATGCGGCCGACGTCTCACGATCTGCTCCTGTAGATATATAAGCAGCTCTCTCACTCTGCTTGTTTAAATTTCAACCCATCAGACTTCTAACCGTCGCTCTTTTATCAGTACAGCCATTCTTTTCCTACTTGACATATCAACCCCATGAAGTCCGCTACACCCTTCCTCGCCGCAGCCGGCGTGGCTGCAGCCAAGAACTGCAGCGTTGATACCATTGCTCGATTCCTTCCCAAGAATGCAACCGTCTTTTACGCCAATCATTATGAAAAGGGATATAACTTCACCCCTCCCATTGAATACAACTATGGCCTGACCTCCGACCCCATGGGCATCAGCGCCTATGAACTTCCTCTTGCCGGCTGTGTTGCCCAGGCCAACATCTCCCTGCCCAACAACACCCAGCACAGCGTCGGTCTAGTCCTACCCGACGAATGGAACGGTAGATTCATGGCCGTCGGCAACGGCGAATTCGCCGGATCTGTCGGCTGGTCTTCCATCATCAACACCATGTGGTACGGCTTTGCCAGTGTATCAACTGATACCGGCCACGAGGGCAACAACGGAAGCTTCGGATACCACAACGAAGCTGCCCTCACCAACTGGGGCTACCGCGCCCTCCACGACGCCGTAGTCAACGGAAAGAAGGTCACCGAGGGCTACTACGGAAAGGACATCTCCTACAGCTACTACCGGGGTTGCTCCGCCGGTGGCAAGCAGGGCTTCAAAGAAGTCGAAATGTTCCCCGACGACTTCGACGGCGTAGTTGCCGGCGCACCAGCCTGGTGGACTTCCCACCAGCAGCTCTGGAACGTCCTCACTGCCATCTGGAACCTCCCGGAAACCGCCGACTACCACGTCAGCGACGCCCAAATGACCGCCGTCCAGGACGAGATCCTGAAGCAGTGCGATCCCCAAGACGGCCTGAAAGACAACATCATGCAGAACCCCTTCGGCTGTGTCTTCGACCCCGTCCCCGTGATGTGCAACGCCACCTCCTCCAACGACACCTGCGTGACCCCCGCCCAACTCAAGACCGTCAACAAGCTCTTCAACCCCTGGTACGAAGCCAACGACACCCTAATCTTCCCCGGCTACACCCTGGGCACTGAAGTCGGCGCCCCCAGCCTGGACGACGACTTCGTCACCTACATCCAATACATGCTCCAGATCGGCGGCGACTGGACCTGGAAGGACTGGAACCCGGACCTCGTGGCCCTCTCCGACAAGATCAACCCCGGAAACGCCACAGCCGACGACTTCGACATCTCCCCCTTCTACAAGAAGGGAGGCAAGCTCCTCCACTACCACGGCTACTCCGACCCGTCCATCGCCACCGGCTCCTCCGTCTACCTGTACAACCACATCCAAGAAGCCCTCCGTCCCCAGGACATCCCCGTCGACGACTTCTACCGCTTCTTCCTGATCCCCGGTATGGAGCACTGCACCAGCACGCCCTCCGACCAGGACGCCCCGTACTACATGAACGGAGACAGCCAGGCCTCTTCTCTCTCCGGAACGGTGTTCGGCGTTCCCGGATTCAATGACCCCAAGCACGATCTCGTCCTGGCTATTATGAACTGGGTCGAGAACGGCACTGCCCCTGATTATCTCATCCCGACCAAGTTCAAGAACGATGATGTTGCTGATGGCGTCGACAAGCAGAGACCGATTTGCCCTCATCCTCAGCTGGCTAAGTATAAGGGCTCTGGTGATGTGGATAAGGCTGAGAACTGGTACTGCGGTACTCTTTACTAGGGAGGGTGACTTGCTTCTTAGCTTTATATGAGTGGAAGTCTGCTTTGGTACTTGCTTGTATGTATATACCGGCTGGGACCTTGGATTCTGTATCATAACAGTGTAGTAGATATCTAATATACTTTTGTAATGTACTATGTCCGGGTTAGCTACCGGTATTACTGATAATGATTGTTTCACCGTCGTAGTATCTAAAACAAGTGCGGATGTAGGTTAGAAGTATACCTCTTTGCTTTGTCTTCTGAATACCGACTTAATCACACGTTTGAAGTCAATGAAGAGTCCTACTCTGCGTTAAGGTCTAGACGGTAGTTATCTCATACGTAATTGGAAGTCGAAGTCTTTAATTTTTGATGACAAAGAAAGAAGTATCTATACCAAATACTACCTGGACTAGATACTTCTCAAAGATACGTGGTCATTGAACTAATATCCTCCGTCCTACCTAGTTCTAGATTAGACAGACCAAATCACGTCTTACTATACTTCGAACGCAAAGACGCCAGCGCCAGCTCACCCAGTCCTCCAATAGTACCTGCCTTGCTAATAGCCGTTAGAGACAACACAACACCTAAATTGCGACGAGACCAATTGCGAAGCTCAACCGTCATCAAGGAGTCAATAGGCAATTCCACTACCTGATCGTAGCTAAGATTATGGGCGAACTTAGAGTACTCCTGTATAGACTTGATCAAGTACTCAAGTATCGTGTTGGCCATGTCATCGGTGTCGAGCATGTCAGGTTGCCTCTCAATCTTTGCTAGAAAATCCCGCATGGCTGCTGCGTTGCTCAAGGACGACCGAGCTGGGCCTGTGTTGACGTCCTCGTCGAGATTCCGGTAGATGCCGAATCGCGCATCTTGACCCCAAAGCGGACGGACCGAGAGGTCGGTTAGGGATTTGGTACTGCTCATACCAACAATAATGTTGTTTGGCGCCCTGATGGTACCATCAGCTATACGCAAGGGAGCCCCTGATTGACACTTGAAGATAGCGAGTTCGAATGCGTCCAGAACTTCCTGCTCCTGCAGAAGGCGCACGGATCCAGAGCTCATTCGCTCTCGTAGTTTTGGGTCTTGTGTGGCGATGTATCCCACATCTCCCACGGCGCCGAGGTTGACGACCGAGGCGGGAAGTCCAAGCTGCAGGCGATACTGCGTGAAAGAGGTCAAGAAAGCATTGGCTGAGGAATAATTGATTTGACATGGGGTACCCAAGACACCTGAAATGGAACCACAGAGGACAAAGAACCCCAGATGAGCATCGTGACCTTGTAGCGCATGATGCAGATTCCAGGTGCCTGCGACCTTACAGGCCAATACATCTTGCCAGTCCTTGTGTGTCATATTTTGGATGAATTGGTCCTAACTGGTTAGTCTTCATGTCAAGTCATTGAAGGGGGTTAGATGCTTACCCGAGGAACCATCGATAGTTGGAGGATTCCACCGATAGGGCGAGGGCATGAGCGGATGACGGCTTTCACATCCTCCGAAATCGACACGTCGGCTTTGGCCAGTACAACCGTGCATCCCTGGATCTCCAGTTCATGTGCGAACGACTGGTCTCCGGCAGATGTGCCTGCGGACCGCGAGAGAAACATCAAGTGTCGGGCGCCCTTCTCCACCATCCAGGTCGCAAGTGTCTGTCCAATGCCCCCTAGACCACCGACTAAAACATAGGCTAAGTCGGGTGAAAGGGCTGACTGTCTTCGTGACCGAGCAACATTGAGGCCATTGGTATTCCAAGGCATCCTTATCAGGATTTTACCAATGTGGAGGCCGCTTTGCATGTATCGGAATGCTTCTTTGACATCGCAAGCCTCGAAGACCTTCGATGGGCGGATTGGGGATATTTTGCCCTCTTCATAGAGATCCATCACTCGAGACGTTAAGCTGTTAGGCCAAGGTCAGCAGCAGTTTGTTACACAAAAGTAAGAATCTAATTACCTTGCAAAGGCTCCAGGTTTCTGCCCCAGTCTTATGAGATCCACACCAAAAAAGGCCCGGTTACCCCCAAAAGCATCCATTGGCAATTTTCCATGCTCGAGGATATCTCGTTTACCAATCTCTATCATTTTACCAAACTCTGCAACGCATGACCATGATGCATGCAACAGCTCTCCAGCCAGCGAGTTGAGCACAACGTCAACCCCGCGGCCACCCGTTTCACGTAGTATTCCCGGAAGGAAACTGCTGTCTCTCGAATTAAAGATCCGATGTCGCGGGATATGGAACGTATTGACAAGATGCAAAGCTTTCTCCTCGCTGCCAACTGACGCATATATCTGATCGATGCCAGTGCCCTCATTATCCTGACCTTGATGAAATGGCATATGGACTTACTTCGGCACCAAGCATCTGGCACAAGTTGATCGCAGCCAAACCAACCCCTCCACATGCTGCATGGATTAGCACAGACTATAGAGAGTTAGCTCTTCACGTCTTAAATACTAGCACTGATTAGGATCGGTAACATACCTGACCCTTTTCTAGCCGAGCAATGTCTGTCAAGCAGTAGAGGGCTGTCCCGTATGCCACAGCCATTGAAGCAGCATCCTCCAAGGATTGCCACGCTGGTAGACGCACACAGCTGGAAACAGGAACACACACGCGCGAGCAGAAAAGCCCAGGCTGAAGCAGCATGACCTGATCGCCAGGCTTACTTGCTCCACGTCGCTGCCACATTGGCGGACGATGCCACTAGCCTCGACCCCAAATTCATCTTTGCTCGCCATGATTCCCAATTGGATCATAATATCCTAATTTCCAATCAATCGTCCTTCTAGCATATACACGTCGAGGATCACTTACTCTGAAGTTCAAGCCAACATAACTGACATCAACTATAACTTCGCGTGGCCCAGGAAGACCGAGTTCATGTTCAGCCCAACCAAGAGAGTTCATTGAACCGTATGTACTGACGTTTAATTTGATGGGAATTGTTGGATCCGGCTCCCGAAGAAGACAGTCAGAAAGGGACTCCCAATGGAACCTCGGGATGTAAATGGTCCCATTCCGCAAAGCGAACTCGTATTCTATGTCATTCGTGTCTTGACCCTCAGTTGCTTTGAAAACTTCTCACATACTCCCAAAGTAGGCCTAATTGCAGTACTGTTGAATTGGTCTATCTGCAATGTACCGAAATGGAGTGCTTCCTCCTGCCGAACTGTTCGTGATGCACCAAATACAATTCCAAATTCAGGATCATGGCACCCGAGTTCGACGGACGGGGTAATCCAAAGAATGCGAGGAGAACATTTGATCAAGGACTGAAACCAGCCCCAGCTCTGTATGTCTATGTCTTTGAAGAAAGGTTTATCAAGATCCAAAAAGGAAATAACGCATTGATTAGGAGGTAATTCTCCTCCAAGTATGCATCGCTCGGTGTGATAGCCTGCCTGCTCAAGTACGGCTTCCACATTGCATATCCACGGATGATCGTGTCGCTTAGTCGTGCATAGAAGGTATATTGCCTTTGGGATTTTCACTGCATTCCAGTCGGATATACGTGAGATTATATTGTAGCGCAATGGATACGGAAACCTAGCGTCGTATGAATATGTGTCAACGCCGGTGAACCCTGCCAGCAGAAGTGAATTTTGCCATGCATCAAGGGGCTGACAGTCTCCTAACTGGGCGTCGAGTTTGCTACACCCGACCAAAAATAACAATCTCTTGAGTATAGTCAGTCTTACTGTGGTATTGACAAGATCGCTGGCCGACTTACGGATGCATTTTCCATGATAGGGAGGTCTTGGAAATAGTCACCACTTCAACAATACGTAGCCAATGCTTGTAGGCTAACCTGGACTTGGTACGTGCAGTAGAAGACTCCCATTATGTGTGAGGAGTCTCTTGATGTGCTGTAAGGAATTTTCAAGTCCTGATTTCTCAAGACACATCTTGAAGTCCGTTAGCTCAATGTTGCAAAATTCGAAGCGGGATCACCCACTTTAGACACTATCACCAAGTCAAAAGCGCCTTCCTGAAATCCTTGCAGTAGTGGATCTCGGGTGATGTCCAGCTGTTGAAAGTTAAGATGCGTATTACCGTCTAAATGGCTTCTAAATTGATCATCGATCATACTTGTGTTCGTGACTGTATAGCTTGAGTATAGTCTTTCGCTTGTTGACTTGAGCTGTGAGAGGACTGAGGAGGTGAAAGAAGTCTCGTGGGCTTCTATCTCGAGAACTCGTAGCGTCGGATTGCAATGTGAGACAAGAGAAAGCCAAACAAACAGGTCACTTGTGGGCGGCATCTTGGAGCATTCTGTCAGACTGCGCAAATTTGATACCGATTCAGTGTCACAGAAGCCTCGGCTGACATCCAATGTCGAGTTCAAAGTGCCCTCCAACAGGTCCGAAACGTGCTTTAATCCCTCCGATTCGAGAGTTTCATTCAAAGCTTTAGCCTCCTTCAATAGATCGCAATCCTCTAGTGTTGCCCACGTCTTTGCCTGTTCGACAGTGGTCAACTTGCCGGTTAGTATATTGTCGATCTGGGCTTGCATCCAGTAGTGATACTCCTTCGACTTCTCCGAGAAGGGAAGTGTATGTTGGAGAAGTCGATGTACTTGGATCATATTCAGTGTTGAAGCTGCAACAACCGTGCGCACCTGTGAATCATTTAAGCTTTTGAGTCCAGAAAGCTGGTCCTGGGCTGTGATCAGATCCATGTCCGGGCGCCATTCGCCATATGTTGCCAAAGGGATGTTGTTGGACCCAGCTTTTATGCTGCTCTCCAATGGAACGAGTAGAATCCCTTTCATGGAGAGTATTCCTCCATTATATTGACCTGTATTATCTATTAAGCTGACTTTGGTCTTGGACTGGCTCACAACGAGACTCTCCATAGACGCTGTCACCTTCACCAGCGGTCGGTTCCGACCGACCTCAATAGTATCCACAAACACAGGAACGTGAGGCCGTGAATTCTGCATTGATTTCCCCCTTGAAGCTGCGACACTGAGAAGTTGCAAGCCTTTGTCAATCGTTGTAGGCTGCACGGCATGGACGTCTTCGGTTCGGATGATTGCGGTCGCTCTGTAACTTAAGGGGTCCGCTCGAATGCTCTCCAGAACTTTAAAGGCGGGCCCATACTCCAAACCAAGTTTTCGCAACTCTTGGTATAAATAGTCTGAAGTCACGGGCCGTGCGCATTCATGAGCTGAGTCCAAATGCAGATCAAGCTGTGCTGTGCCAGTTGCGGCCTGACATACAGTATGTTTGACCCACTCAATACCGTTGTAGGACATAATGCTGAATTCGTAGGATGCAGAGGCTACTCGATCACTAATTTTGACAGGCTTTGCGCTTGTTACAATTTCCATCTTTTCCCATTGGTGAAGTAAAAGAGGAGCCTGAATGCATAGGTTCCGGATAGTGCACTCTTGCATGCCAGATATCTGACGGACTGCTTCGTTGATCATTCCAATGTACCCTGCGCATGGAAATTGGGTTTCGCCCATGATACAACGGTCACCAAGCCATGGCACATCGACTGGGCTTAGTAGATTTCTCCAGGATGGTTCAATATCGTTGAATTCTAGCGTCCGGGAACCTAGAAGTTCATGGCGTGGATGCTGACGGAATCTCCAATTTCTACTGAGTCGACTTTCCTTCCAATTCCAAACTCTGTCGGTCCCATGGATATGGCGACAGGCAGCTAACAAAATGGCCTTTGCCATTGATTGCTTCCAGATCAATAACAAATCCAGTTAAGAATAGTTCTCCAGCCACTTGCAATAAGCAGCGTGCTTGGTCTTGATCAATCAAAAGGGTGGGAATGTATTTGTTCGCTTGCGATGTATGCCGAGCAAGTATCTGGCGCAGAGGTGCTGAGAGCGAACTGTGGGGTCCGACTTCGATGAAAGTCTTCGATATGTCTTTCTTAGCAGCAAGGAGAGACTCGACAGCTCTGGCGAAAAGGACTGGAGACTCAAGGTTGGCTGCCCAATAGCCAGCGCTAAGCTGAGTGGGATCGTTGACTACCGAGCCCGTAAGTGTCGAATACAACGGTATCATGTTATCATTGCAAACGATATAAGGCTCAATCAAGTCTCTAAAGACAGTCGCCGCTTGTTTCATATCGGCTAATGTCCAGGTCAGTAGATGTTTCGCTCAGAGAGTGCAAAAAGGAAGCTAACGGGAATGGTAAGCCATGCGTATAGGCAGCAATTTGCTGAAAGTGTCTGAATTATCAGCCTTGATCTAATCCACAACAGCTGCTAGACTTTCTCGGTTGCCAGAGATATTGACCGTCTCAGGGCCATTCTCACATGCCACCACGAGTCCATCTTTGAGATACTTCTTAACAGCATTTATTCCTAGGCCAACAACAGCCATTCCTCCTGATAGTGGGCAAGACATAGCGCAAAGGCCTCGGTAGTAGGCTACGATTATGGCCGTTCGAAGGGGAATCGCTTTCGCCGCATAAGCAGCTGCAACCTCACCACTGGAATGGCCAATTACTGCCGCAGGGTATATGCCCCAACTTTCGAGAAGATTCACCAATGCAATCTGCACAGCAGCGGATAAAGTCTGTGAAAATACAGGCTCCTCCATCTTCAGTGGGTCTTCCAGCGTTTGGAGTTCATCTGCAACAGTTAGTACTAACGGAGACCCGATGTAGCATGTCGAATAGCAATGACAAAAGAGCGTGCTTCTTACCAGCGATTCTCCATGTGGGCGGCTCTGGCAACTCTTGCAATATTTGGTCCATAGCGAGGCAGTCGAGCTTGAAACCCGGGAACGAAGCCATTAATTCTCTCCCCATGCCGCACCACTGCGAACCCTGACCGGAGAATGCAAATACTATGTCGTTCGTGCGGGAAGTAGATGCATTTCGAGTCAAACGAGGTTCATCAGTAGTATCATTACCACTAGCCACCATATACGTACGGTATGGAAGGTGCTCACGACACGCTCCGAGGGTGTGGGCAACATCAGAGATCAGGGAAGGCTTCTCAAGTATGTGTGATCTCACTGCTTCGCAGCGAGCCTGGACTGCTCTTTCGCTTGCAGCAGAGACCACAAGCAGGTGGCTTCTATGAGGATGTCCCGAGACAGACTCTGTGGCCTCATCCCTCGGGGTAGGCCATGAGTCCAGAATAACCTATGGAACGAAGTGAGCAATGCGGCCTTCTGAACCGGTCATTTGGCGGACTCACATGTGCGTTGGCGCTACCGATGCCGAAACCGTTAACGCTGACTCGTTCCTTCCGATCAGAAGGCCATGGAATTGGCTGGGTAGGAACTGCCAAGCGTCCTTTCTGAAAGGGTACTTATGACATACAGTCAGCCTAGGTATGGGTAAATCAGTCGACAGAGTATATTCTCACTCTTGGGATTAGGTTGGGCAAAGTGCATGTTTGGTGGCATGATACGACGCTCCAAGGAGAGTATGGCTTTTATCACTCCTGTCAGACCCGATGCACCTTCGCCGTGACCGAAATTGGTTTTAACCTAAATACATCCGAATTAGCATTGACTATGGGTGTTAATAGTGCACTTGGTGTGGTACCGATCCAATGTACATTCCTCGCGAACCGAAGACTCGGGCAACTGCTGTTGTCTCGACTACATCTCCAATTTTGGTGCCGGTTCCATGACATTCGATGAAGCATGTTTCTGAAGGATCCATAATTTGTGCTTTTTGGTAAGCTTTTCGTATCAGTCGCTCTTGGCTTTCGATGTCTGGGGCAAATATCTTGGCCGATTGCCCATCATAGTTTGCCGACGTTGCCCTAATGACTGCACGTACGTTATCCCCGTCTGCGATTGCTCGGCTCAAGGGCTTGATGTAGATTGCATTAACGGCCTCTCCTCTCCCATAGCCATTAGCTCTAGCATCAAATGCCTTGCAATACCCATCCGGGGACAGAACAGTGTTGTCCGACATGTTGATTGTCATAGATGGCGCTAGAATCATATTGGTTCCGGCTACGATGGCGGAGGAACAACTACCATTGTTTAGGGCCTGACAGGCCTCATGAAGAGCTGTCAAGGACGATGAGCATGCAGTCATAATAGTCGCACTATTCCAAATTAGAGTGGCGAAATAAGATGGCATAGCCCTCCGTCGCGAACGATAAAGACCTACCTTGGGCCTTTCAGATTGAATTGATAAGAGACGCGGTTGGACAGCGTGTACGCCCCATTAGCAAAGGCATGCACGCGAGGTATTGACAGTGTCTCTTTTGCTGCGAGCTCATGCCAGTCTTCGCCAAAAACACCAACGTAGCAGCCAATATCTTTGCCATTCCAGCCTGTCTGGCCAGCATTTTCCATACACTCCCAAACGACCTCCATCAACAAAGTCTGTTGCGGGTCTAGTTCGTCCATTTCAAAGCCAGGAATCGCCGGGAAGAAGTTCAAGTCAGCGTTCCCGATGTACTCATCTTCAAGAAGTATCCTCTTCGCGTCCTCACTGCCCCAGGCTTATCCGCACTATAGAACCCGTCCACATTGTACTGGCTCTTGGGGACCTCTGACGAACAATCCCTTTTCTCGATAAGTGCATCCCAGAGCTGCTCTGCCGTTCGAACGCCGCCAGGGAGGCGCATCCCCATGCCCACAACTGCGATTGGTTGGCTGGACAGCGCCGGAAAGCCATTGGTAGGCTCTTCATTGTTAATAATTTTCGGATTATCGTTCACACCGTTCTTGGTCTGGAAAGTTGCAAATTGGTGAGCAACCTGCATAGCACAAAACTGTAGGTGGACATGGTGGTAGTCTCCTCCCCTCCATGGCCACCTAATGGAGCCTATTGAGACACACAAAGTCGGATAGTTGATCACAGAACACCAAAAGGCTAACGCCCGTCAGATGTGTGGAATCTCGGGCGCTGAAATGTGGTGAGGCACGGGCTATGTATATCATTTAGCCTGTCTCCGGATCAATTCCGACACTGAGTTGTCTGCCCATGTTTTCTTAATTAGCACTCCTTGCATCCATGCGTATGGGAACAAGGTCGACTTACGTAGTCCCCTGCATGAAGACTGCAATACGTAAGCATGGAGCGGTCTCAATGATAGAGGCCTATCACTTTCTGACTCTGCTGTCTTGCAAAATAGCTCGGGATTCATAACTGCTAATAGAAGCACAAACAGATTCGGTCCAGACTAGAAGAAACAGGAAAATGAACTGATTGAACTCCACTGCATGAATTATATCCCTAAGCCACGCTTAAAAGTATTCTGGTGTGTAGCCCTAACAAGCCATGATCCGCATGCAGACATGTAAGGGGCTTTTCATGGAATCTATCCCTGGCGATGTCTCAAGCGAAGTATAAAGCCATCGTTAGTGAATGACACGTCGTACCTTACAGAGTACATTAAATCCTGCATACGAAAGGACCTATTGACTGTCAGCCAATTACACTCATTCAACTCACCGTTTCACCCACGATGCTCTTCCGCAACATTGCCTTCTACCTCACTGCTGGGGCCTGTCTCGCAGTATCCCCTGTGCTGGGCGCCAAAGACATCAATCAAGCTGTCTCGGATATGAACGCCCTTACCACTTCCATTCAGAATGCCCGACAGTCCCTAGATGACTACCAGGGAGGGATGCTTCGCAGCCTCAAGGTTAGAAGTTCGGTGCAGACGGCCAAGGGCGCCGCCCAGAAAGCTCGCCAGAACCTAGCTCAGCAAGACGAGCCTTTCAATGATGATGAGGCCGAGCAATATTACCAGGCCTTCCAGGAAATGTGCCCGGAACTCCTGGACGCAGTGAAGACATCACAGGACAAGGTATGGTGCCCTTTGCGCCCCGACGAAACTGATTCGATACGCTAATATCTTCCATGTATAGGCGCCTCTATTCAAGAAAGCTGGGGTGGCCTCATCTGCGAAGGCAACGCTTGATACACTCCGGGATGAGCAGTCCAAATTTGGAGAGGAAGCGCAAAAGCACGTCCCTGCGGACGTCTATGCTAAGGCAACTCCTTGTTCAGATCAGATCAAGCAGGCTTTTGATGACAATGACAAAGCTCTGTCTTGAGGGAGGGTAAAGTCAGTTCTGAGTATGTTGACTTTTACATACTCAAAAGGCGAGGGTCTTGTGTCAGGGATGAGTGTATTGGAGGCAATACTTCCAGTCCATTCGGTAGCTCCATGTATTTCACTGAAAGTAGTGGATTCTCTTGACATCTGAGATTTAATTGTACGTTCCAAACTTCAATAAAGCGTAAGATAAGGAGAAGTCATGTCAAATGTACCATCCTGCACAAGTACTAGTCTTGAGATCTGCTAATCACGAGACACAGCGCTTACCTCACCCGTAATTGTACTTAGTTGATTGTTTGTTAGTTACAGTTATGTATCGTCTCGCTGCTTATATTAGCTTACATTACACATTACTTGCTCAACAGCAGAAATTCAATGAAGACTAAGCAATCATTTGAAGTTTCTGGGCGTAAAGCAAGCTTTCCCCATGGCTACACCATCGTCGATCCGAACCTTAAAGCGTACAACGCCCATTCCGGAGATTACAAAGTTTGGTCTGGCATCCCCTTTCTTTTGCCTTTCAGCCCTTTCATACCATGTGACTTGGCGTCTATTCCAGATGGGGGTCGGATAACCCTATTGGGTCAGGCGATGTTTGTTTACAAGTATCAAACCGCATCCAGACTCTCAGTTGCATTCATTCTTTCAGGCTTGTTCATAGAATGTTATATACAGAATGGGAGGTATCTACATTAGCTCCAATGCCAGGCAATGTGAGACACCGACTCAATCTGGCATGATCTGCCACCGAAGATCTGTTCTCGAGGTCTTTCAATGTAGGATGACATGACTCGCTACTAAGATGCGTGTTTATCGAGACCGTGATCAATACAAAGGGGGTCTTGGGATGTTCAAGATTCACGCAATGTCTGGCGGAACCTGTAGATGATGCTATTATGCTGACCAGACAGATAGAATGTACAACTCATCTCAGAGATCTGTCATCAATACACTAATTGCCACAACAGAGTATGAAAGGTTGGATAATATCATTTAAATTAACTTTATAGTATCTTACTTTGCTTTTACTACATTTTTGTTATGACCATAACTCCTATGCAAAATCACCGCCACAAAGCAATGACAATCAAAGGAAAGAAAAAAACAATCCTTCCACCCTGAATTACATACCACGACCTGCCTGCCAGATCAACATTCCAACTGATACTTCCACCACACTGTAAGATCAATCAATCCAATCTCACAGCATCCATCCAGTTACCTCCATTTTGCGCCACATATTCCCTCATCTGCGCAACCCAAGACACTGACTTCCTATCCACAGGAAAGAAAACATGACCACGATTGCAAACAAAGAACTCCACATACATATCATGCGGACTCAGGCCTCTTCTTTTCAGCTCTAGCAGAATGCATTCATCGGGGCGGCGCAGCCTGACCCTTGTTTCTTCACCCACTCCCACTCCACGCTTCTTGCCATACCACTCATACTGCAAACTGCCCGCGTCCTCAATCGGCACGCCGAAAATATCCCTTTCCCCCTGAGTAGCAGTTTCAGGTGCGTATTTCCAGCGCACATACTCAGCCAAAACATCCATAGGAGTCTGCAACACTGTTCCTTGGATATATTTATGTAGGAAGGTAAGGGTAGGCTGTGCCATTAGGAGTCGTCGGATACTATTGCTTTGCTGGTCGCGCTTCTGGCGCAAATACATATCCAGTTGGACAAGGAAGAGTGTAGCGAGAAAGATGTCCCCATCTTGCCAGACGCACCGGTTACGGATCGTCCACTCCCGGCGCTCGTTGTCTGGGATATCCATCAAAGCCCAGATTTTCAAAATGGGTTGATAGGCTGCTGCCGGGAGGTTATAGCCAGCCTGGTGAAGGAGGACTATGATATCTAGCACAACGCTATCGCGGTATGAAAGCATTCGGAGCCATTGGATGGACGGCACGAGGACATCAAGGTTAAGCTGGCGGTCTTGAGGTTGGAAAGTACGCCACTGTCTGGGTTGGGCGCACAATCGAGGATAACAGAGGACGGGGAAGGTAATGGAAGAGAGATGGTGGCGTGCTGCTGCATAGGTTGTGGTAATATGTCCGATATATGCGCAGAGGAAGTCGTGAAAAGGTTTGGATACAGCACCGATGTTGACTATATCATTGACGTCGAGGTAACTGGTGAGGTCAAGAGCGAGTTGAGGGTAGTATGCGAAATGTCGCAGGAGGTCATACCCTCCATGGGGGAGGATAGGAACTATAAGTTGAGGGGGTGGCTGAACTCTAGCATTTTCATTCGAAGCCATATTCAGGGCTGGCGGGCCGATTACCTGTGGCTGCTGTGATACGGTCTGGGCTTCTGGGTGGCCAATGGCTCGTGGCTGCTGTGGTACAGTACTGGCTTCCGGATGGTCGATAACGATTGGCTGCTGCGGTACAGTCCTGGCTTCTGAGCGACCAAGGTCTCGTGGCTGCTGTGGCATTGTTCTGGCTTCCGGGCGGCGGATAACTGTTGGCTGCTGTGGGAGAGTCATGGTTTCTGGCTGGCCGATGGCTCCTGGCTGCGGTTGTACGGTTCTGGCATCAGTCTCATCTGGTTTCAACGCACGAGCAGACACTGCTGGAAGGACGTTATTGCTCGAAACTCTAGTCTGGGTAGCAATCTGCGGCCTTGCTCCCACTGTCCCGGCTGGCTGAAGGGGTATGGATGCCAACTGGTCCTGAGGGATTGGCTGAAAGCTGCCAGTGAATTGTGCAGGGGGGATATTCGGCACCTTGATACCCTCGTTGGTTATCTGTACAATTGCCGGTGTTTTTACTTTTGTGTTGCTTCCCTGCTGACACATAGGTATGATGTTCTCTGGCTGAATACCGGCGATTAACTGCTGGCGGATTAGATATGCCTGCAGCGCTAATTGGGGGTTAATGTTTGCTCCCAGTTGTTGGGGTTGCTGTGCTGGCACTGCGGTGGATCCCTGTTGCTGGTTGGGATTCTGTGGGGGTTGGGAGATCTTCGGTGGCCCAGAGGGTTGCGAGACGATATTTGAGCGTCCAGGGGGGAGCTGTGGTCGTGGAAGATTCTGTCCTCGATGGGATTTCTGTGCCCGAGGGCGATTCTGCACCTGAGGTCGATTCTGCACTTGAGGAGCGTTCTGCCCTTGAGGGGGGTTCTGCGCTTTAGAAGGCTTCTGAACTTGAGGGGGAATCTGCGCTTGAGGCGGAATCTGTACTTGAGGGAGATAGTACTGTGCTTGAGGGTGGTACTGTGCTTGAGGGGAATATTGTCCTTGAGGAAGATACTGTGCTTGAGGAGAATACTGTACTTGGGGGGGATACTGGGCCTTGGAGGGATACTGCGCTTGGGGGAGATACTGTGCTTGATAGGGCAATTGTGCCGGATGAGCGAGCTGTTGTCGCTTTCGAGGAGGGAGCTGTGTTGGAGGAGTGATCTGCCTTTGCGGAGGGAGCTGTGCTTGATTATAGCGCTGATCACAGCCGCTCGCATAAGCACCAGGAAGGCTCACTGTGCTCTGTGTGCTATGTGCTCTAGTATGACGGGCATCGCTGCACTGGTTTGGTGTCTGATTGCTCTCTCTAGAGCCTGCAAGAAAGAGCAAGCACTCAGCGGCATCCACATCCTCTTGGGTAGTGGGAGTAGTCATTTTGTGAATGTGTCGCCGTGCAAGGCCAATCAGAAAAGCACGAAGAGGCTGACGCGGAGCACTGAGTGATCAGTTGGATCCGCCTGTAGAACGGGGCTGATTCTGAAGAAGAGGCCTTACATGAACGATGCGATACTCGTGTATCAGCTATCTTGAACAGAGTGCTGACCGGAGATTCTTAGTTGTCAACACCACAAAAAGAGAAGGTTGGGGAGCAGTAGTAGTCGATGAGGAACTTCAGAGTGATAAGATATGTGTTGGTATACAAAGCAGTGAATAGATATAAAGTTGCCATGGGAGATGGAAAACACTGTTTCCCTATGTAGTGAATGAATGAATGCCGAGTCACTTTGATTCACTGGCTGGAAGGCTGAGTAGATAATAAGGTGTGTACAGTACCGTTGGTACTGTGGTATTAATGCTCTTATGATGCATTCCATGTTAGGATTATGCGGTAGTATTGAGTACATTCGCATGCATATATTTCATCATCTGCAGCTGTGTTACTATACCTCTAATCCAGAAACGATGAGAGTCTTGGTGGTGCTATCGTTTCTCCTAAGAGTTGCTTTGACATGAAGACTTTATATGTTGTATTCAAACGCTTTGGTAAATACCAAAACACTTGCAGGTTAAAGGGAAATACAAATTTGCTTGCAGTATATACACAATAGAGTACTTTAAGCAGACTGAGCTGAATAGTCAATTGTTGAGATTGATCTTATCTCGAATATACATAGCTGTTTGCTATAAGAATTCCACAGCATAACGTCGTCCAGACATCCCACATGTCCCTATATCCAGTTGAGAAGATATTAAAACAAATGTTGAATCAACCTCGACACAGCGCCAAATTTTGCAGCCGAGGTGTACGGCAAGAGCCGCCCGCCTGCCCTAATTTATTCCCCCGTTGTTGATCGAAACAATCGAGCGAGGGAAGCAGTTGACGATGATCTGAGCATCGTAATCGCAGGACAGAATATATCTATACAAGTAGTATTTTCAAAGCCAAGACAGTCCAAACGCAAAAGAACACTCCGTCCGCGCGGCGTAAAATAGAATGCCAATCCAAGAACCTGTTGAAAGGTGACCGCCAAAACTCCGTGAAACAAGAATACCATCCACTGTTAAATCGAGGGGGTAAAGAAGTAGTAAGTGTCGTAAGGAAGTTGAGTAGGCATGAAAAAAATTAGCGGCGATGCAGCAGAGTCAGGAACTCCTCCCGGGTCTTCGCGCTCGACCGCATGCAGCCAAGCATGCAGCTGGTCGTGGTAGTGCTGCTAGTCTTTTGCACACCACGCATCACCATGCAAAGATGGGACGACTCCATGACAACACCAACACCACGGGGTTTCAAAACCTCGGAAATAGCCAGAGCGACTTGCTTGGTCAAGCGCTCTTGCACCTGGAGACGACGAGAGAACATCTCCGCCAGACGAGCCAACTTGGAGAGACCAAGCACACGGCGATCAGGGATGTAGCCAATGTGCATCTACCAAAAAGGTGTCGGTTAGCATCATTATCCCTCGTACCCGAGAAAGCAGTCTTACCTTTCCGGTGAAGGGAACCATGTGGTGCTCGCACAGCGAGAACACCTCGATATCCTTGACAATCACCAGCTCGTCATGATCCTCATGGAAGACCGCACCATTGACAAGATCCCGGACATTCTCCTCATAGCCCTTGGTAAAGTAGAGCATGGCCTTCGCATATCTCTCCGGGGTCTCGCGCAGGCCCTCTCTTTCCGGATCCTCTCCGACACACTCCAAAATCGTCCGAACAGCTCCTGCGAGCTTCTTAATGCGCTCCTCTGTCTCTTCGGGCGACGACTCCAGTCGCTCCCTGGTACCGGGGCCTGAGGAATGGAAGCGTTAGATCTGAAAGATACCCAATCGCATCAACAAACACTTACAAGGCCAACTCAGTCCATCGAAATCAATTGGAGGGAAGAGGGTGTAAGGGCTTGCTGGTCTGCTGACAGTCGCAGGCGGGGTCAATGCACCGGCCTCATCTCTCGGATCGCGGGGAGGATCGTTCAATGTCGGCCTGAATCGCGCAATTAGTGAATGAATTGATACCATCCCGCAGATGCGACATACTTAGCAGAGGTAGACCCCCGGGGGGTATCATCTACCAGGGACTCCCCGGAAGGGTGAGAGGCAGAGGCAGGCAGGTTGAACTCCACCGGGATGCGGGGAGTGAACGACGAAAGGATGGAGGAGTTGAGACTTTCCCTCTCCCGAGCGTCGCGCGAGCTGGTAGAGGGGCTGGTAGAGACGTGGAGAGGAGAGCCGCCATTCAGCATATGAGAGGGTATGGCAGACCTAGGCTTCGGGCCAGGAGGAGGGGGAGACGTTCCAGAGCCCATGATTATTTTGGTGTGAGGAGAAAAGTAGGAAGCGAGCAGAGGGAACGGAAAGACGGAGGAGATGTGGGTATTGGCGGCGTAGACAGTAGTAGGGTTAAGCAACGCCTTGGGAGATTGAAGAACGGTTGGAGGAAGTGAGAGAGGAGAAAAAAAAAGGTTACAGCGTCAGAGACATGGCAGTAAGCACAAGGAGGGAAAAGGATTCTGGAAGGAGGAAGAGGATTAGTGTAAAAACCGAAAAAGCTAAGAATGACTCCGACCTTCGAAGGGGCGGCGACTCAATGATTTGATTTCCCTTTCGAACCCCTCCGCTTTTTCGGACGGCGGCGTGATCGCTGTGTTGACCGCCTTTGTCTTGCAGCCACTCACAGGCATCTTGGCGGGGCTGATTAAGCTTTCTCTCCCCCAATTTCCTGTCGAGAATTTCCCCTCCATAAGTAGTAGTAAGATTGTCCAGGATGATTGTGTCACGGCTTCTGTTCTCATGCTAGGAATGCTTTGTTTTAATAATGACTAAATGTGGGACTGCTCGCCATTGCATAGATATATTTTGGATAATTAAGATTGCTAAACTCGTCTATCTGAACCCACCTCCCCTACTATCTTGCAAAGAAATCCATCCAGCTCGGTCAATGCGGCTCCGATTGGCAGCGGCAGAAAAACGCTCCGAAGTGGGGCACCAATCATCATGTCGACATCACGCGGGATGCTGCCTGAGGCATTCAGACCAAGAAAGGGAAACCATTGTCTGGGATGAATAATGCAGTACTAAGTACTTAAGCTAGGCTTCATATGTTACATTGCAGCCACTAAACTCCTGAAATCCGACTGTGCAGCAAAGTTCGTTGTCATATGTTTGTTTCCCACTTTCTCGCTGTCTTTGTTGCAACCCCATCGAAGAAGTACATGAAGTGAGACGAGCGAGCCATTCCCTTTAGGTGCCAGTAGTGATGCAGATTTACATCTTGAATATGGTAGCTCATGGCTCCAACTCTTCGGTCGGCACATCCTCCAGATCCTTGCCGACAATCGCATCTGCCACCTTCCACACCTGCAGCAGGTTGTCCTCAGCCGCCGAGCAGAGCACCCACGGGTCATTCAGGTTCCAGCTGAAATCCGAAATGCGGTTTGTGTGGCCGCCGTGCATGAACAGACTAGAAACAGTGTTAGCAGGGTAACATGGTACCATACGGGAAGCGTTACGTACAGCTCGGGAGGACCATCCTGGGCATCCTCGGGGGTCTGCTCCTCACCAGTCCGGCTAAGATCCCAGAACATGATTTTGCGGTCATAGCTGGCACTGGCCAAAACGCTCTCCTCAAATGGATGCCAAGAAAGCGAAGTCACGGAGTCGTTATGACATTCGAGCGCATGCAGTTTGGTCTTCAGATTACGTAGATCCCACAGGCCGATCGACTTATCAGCCGATCCGGTGGCCAGGACCGTTTCTGCGGCAGGGTTGAACGCAACAGCGTTGATGGCATCACGGTGCTGACCCTCCGCTGAGGCAGCCGCACGTGTGGTTTCGGCCTCACGCACATCGAGGATTTGAAGTGTGATATCATCGGATACCGTTCCAATGAGCGAAGAATGCAGAGGATGATATTGAACATCGTTGACAATAGAAGAATGGTGGGTGTACGTCCGAACAGGCTTAAGTGCCTTGTTGCCCTTCGTGTATGTCGTCAGATCCCTGCACAGCAGTTAGCCCCTGAGCAATCAAGTTCCATCTAATATAATCAAAGCTTACCAAAGACGGACTGTCTTGTCTTCGCTACCTGTAGCAAGGTGACCAGTAGTGTGTGGACTCCAGCTGAGACCGAAACCCTCGCGAGTATGGCCGAGAAGTTCCATCTGAGGGTTGACTGTGCCTGTAGGCAAGCTCGGGTGCTTTGAGCGATCCCAGATCATTACACGGCCATCTGTGCACATGGTGGCAATGATGTTGGGGTTCTGTGGTTGGTATCGCGCCTTGTTGACTTCACCCTTGTGATCAATCTTTTGCACGATGTTGAACTTAATTTCCATAGGCGCCTTCTTTGAGCTGCCGCCGTATCCGCCAATCTCCCCACGCTCTTCATCGTAGTCATCTGGGTTAGGCGCAGTCGGATTAGGGAGCTGTACATGAGCAATCTGCAGGTAGTTTTGCGCATCACTCGAGGTATGAGTGCCAATAAGCAGGCGATGGGTCGAGTAAGGCTTATCGGGAACACTGCCGGACGTTAAAATCTGTAAGGAAATGAATAGAATGGGCGCGCATACTCTTGTTTATCAGGTAGCCATTGTGTTGTGAGGGTGGGCCATTCTAATGCCGTGCTCAGGATCATGTCATAAAGGAAAGGTGCGTTCTTCTTCCATGTCTTGTACTCTGTTCCACTCATTAGTTAGGTCGGGAGACACCCCACTACAGATTGGGCAACGCACCTTCGTTAATGATCTTCTCCTCAGTGCGCTCCTCCTCCTGCTCTTCTTGCTCCTCAATGAAACCTAGCGGGAGGAAGGATTAGTCAAGCTCGCGCAACAGAATCCGTGGGGCCACTTCTCACCATCGTCGTAAGGCTCCATGGTTGTGGGGAAAGACGGTTGAAAAGGCTGAGAATCAGAACACTTTCAAATAGAGCCGATTGCTCAG